GACCAAATAGTGGACATTGAATTACCCAATATTCGATTTTAAGAAATTTAAAATAATTTTGACAAAAACAACAAAAAATGATTATAAATAGGGTGATTTTCTTATTAAAAATGAAATATTTATCATTGAAAGGTACTATTAGTGTTCACATATTAGTGTACATAATGATATATATCGTTATTTATAAATACATATACTTATTAACTAGTTTAGAAGCTAAAATTCACTTAAAATTAGAGCCAAAAATATGTCCACTATATGTCCACTATTTTTATCATATTTTTGAGCAAAATATAGCAATTGTCCACTATTGCAAATTTTTGAGTTGGCCAGCCTAGGTACACTACATGTATTGTATAATTAGGACAAATAATTGTAAACTGTACAAAGGATGGGTACACTTGAATTGCACTAAAGTATTGCCATTAAATGAATGTTAAAGTATTTGTTTATTAAAGAACTGTTTTAAAAATGTTGCCATATTATAATTAAATATTACTATTATTTATAAATCAACAAAAATAATATTTTCATTAATACCTGTATACAAAATGTATTTATAAATCAACAAAAATAATATTTTCATTAATACCTGTATACAAAATGTATATTAATTATTAAAATTTACATAATTATAATATATAAATAATTTAATAATAATTTGTTAGAAAATAATATTTATTTTTATTGATATAACCATGGAATTCCAAATATCAAAATTATTATATATAGTTCATACTGTACTTGCTAAAATATGAGTATTCAGAGTTCACATTTAATTCATTATTACTACTAATTTTACTATTACTAAAGAACAAATTATGGTTAATATACAGTACAACCTCTTCCTATAAAATATACAATTTGCACCTAGTGTACACCTTGGAAAGCTATAAATATAACAATGGTAAAAAATTAAAAATTAAATAATAAAATTGTTTGTTTCTATTATAATAACTTGACTTAAATAAACAGATGATAAATACTGAATATTGGAAATCACAATATAATTTTGAATTAAATGTTGAAGTTATAATTAAACATGGTAAATGTAAGTTTTTTGTTTTAATTAGAATATTTATTTTAGAACTAACTTGTAAGAATTGATAAATTTTGATACAACACATAAAATAAAAAATTTTATAATAAAACATGATAATAAAATCATTATACTAAACTATGAATTAAAATAAAACAACATGATCAAATTCTGAGATGCTCTTCGAGTTTAACTAAATCACAGCTCAATTCCCACAGACTTTTGGCAGTCTTGTCGTCATTGGCTTCGGGTATCATATGATCCACACGACGACAGTTGCTATGAATATACAAAATAAAAATAAAAAGTTATAAATAATTTCGTATAAATTGGGAATCAAATAATATATTAATTATAATAACAAATAATTACTCGTAATAATATCCCGTCTGATCTGCGACTTCATCGTCGAGAGCGCAGTAGAGTGTGGTCTGAGAGCCGAGTAGTGGCGAAATGCAAAAGTTGCGCCGAAACCAACCCCTGTCGGTCGGGTTGGCCGCATCGGGTGCCCCAACATGTCTGTCCAGTTCTGTGTTAATGACTCCCGGATGCAGTGAATATGTGTTGATGTTTGAGTGGCGGAGCCTTTTGGCCAATTCACGGCTGAACAACACATTTGCGAGTTTGCTCTGAGCGTACGCAAAAAAGTTATTGTATGTACCATTTCGTAGGTTTACATTATCAAGGTGGATTGGGCTACACATATGCAGGGCTGACGACACGGTCACTATACGACCCGCCGGTGCTTTCTTTAGCAATGGTATCAAATGTAGTGTAAATAAAAAATGACCTGAAAATTATAAATTAAATTTTATTATTTTAATGTAATAAAATATAAGTTATATTATATGTTTTATATAAGACCATCATCTACTATTGATTATTATTATTTAGCAACATTATTATTATTTTCTATGGTGGTTAAAACTATCATGGTTAACATACCTAGATGATTAGTACCAAACTGCATTTCAAAGCCGTCCTCGGTTTTCCATTCCGAACAACCCATAACTCCTGCGTTATTGATAAGTATATCGACTTTTGTCTCCAAACCCGACAACTCTTCCACACATTTGCGGACAGATTTGAGTGAAGACAAGTCCAGCAAAAGTAGTTTTATGTCTGCCTTTGGATTCAACGCTAAGATGTTTTCAACGGCTGCTTTGCCTTTCTTCTGGTCCCGACACCCGATGTATACCTTTTATTATATAAAAATAAAATTTATAAAAAATTTGAAATATTTATGTAAAAAATAACTACAATTAAATAAATGAAAAATATTAAAAATCTCATACCTTAGCCCCTCGTAAAGTGAGCTGATATGCAGTTTCTTTACCAATGCCAGCGTTACCGCCGGTCACTACAACTACCTGTCCGTTAAGTTTTTTAGCACTGGTCACCCGTCGGCGCCAACCCATGAAATTTGAAAAATGCTCGTATAATACTAAACATAACATACGCCAAAATATGGTAAATCTAATGTGGTATAATATTCCCATACTGTAATTGACTTGTTTTATAAATATTTTATATAATATTAAATATTACACTTGATTTTACTGTTTAATTGTGAAAAATAACAAACTTTATATTAAACATAAAATATAAAATTAAATGTTAAGTGTTTTAGTGATAAATAATTATTGGTATTTATATGAATACATATAATATTCTGCACAGCATTTGAAAGAGTTACAACAAAATTGCATAGTATTGCTATATCTATGGTATATATACTTTTTTTATATGTACTTATAAATACCGCTTATATCTACAGGGTGTGTCAGGCATTTCTGACACTTTTTAACATTAGTCCAATGGACATTTTTAGCCAAAAATTACAAAATTTTCAAAACTAAGTTTTTATTAGCAAAACATAAAGTATAGCTCATGTATGTTTTGGAACTCCAGAGTTTTTAAAATTCACATTACAGATAGCTTTTCTACAAACATTTGAAAATTCCTAAAATCACGATAGGACACTATCTTTATATGTTTGCCAACTTTTAGAGTTAAGATTTAAGTTACCACCAAATGTGCTAAAATATACTTCAATAAATGGGCTTTAAATCTAGTATGTGATTATTTTTTAGATCTATTTAGATTTTTTAATAAATTACAATTAAAACTTTTATGAACAAAAGTGTCAGAATTGGATAATACACCCTTTACAGTTAACGTGAAGGTCGAGTACATTATAATGTTATAAATCAAAGTCTGTAAAACTAAACATTAGTATCCTTACACTCGAAATGTACTAAACATTAAGATTTAATTATAAAATCTGTTTTCCTTATACATTATCATGTTTAAAATTCTATTGGTAATTGTTTAATTTGATATAATGGATATGTTTTAACAAAACTATTCCTAAACATGCTAGTATAGTAGATTATAATATATTATAACATTTATAGTATAAACAGTTATATAGAGTATCAGTATTTAATAATAATGTTGGTTTAATGTGACACGACATGTGTCCTAAACTTTCTATTAGCTGTAATTCTGTAATTTTCCCTAAGTTTTTGAATTGTATGCCTTATCTCAAACCAATCATAGCATTGGGTTTACAACGGTTTCCCCAAACTTTACCTCAATTCACTCTACACTCACTGTATCTCAGGTGTACTTAAGAGCCACACATTCCATGTGTTCCCTCAGTCTCTCTTTGTTTAGCGCACTGTTCGGTCGCAACATAGACTCCACTCTATCTGAGTGCCAACCATTTCTCCATTGTTTAAAACATGTGCTAATCGGCCATATCTTGCGCCAGCATTTTATCCAATTTAACCACAATTATCTTAATTGTATTTTATACCAGTTTTTATCATTTATTTTGTGCTACAAATAAAGTAATTTAAATCGCTATCAAAAGCTACAACAAATTCGTTGCTTCCGTAAAAGCTGGGAAATCGTGTCCGCTTTCATCACATATCTACTGTAACGCCGATTACATAGGTTTTGGTGGGTTTCCCATAGCAAAGTGCATTCGCATAGGATTTGGTGGGTTTCCCATAGGAAAACACCCGCTCAGACCGTCCGAACACTCATCACCGCTCGGCGCACACTCTCCTCTCGCCTCTGGCCACCGTTTATGTGATCACTCTCTGGACAGTAACCCACGTCTGTCAGAGAGCATCCACTCCTTCACACACTCTCCACGACAGCACTGCCTTTCTAACGGCGCCATCGACCAGACAGCGCACCGTATAAGAGTC